TGTGAGGTGAGTTGGGCTGAGAGAGAGTGACTGGCCCAAAGACACCCAGCCGGCTTTCATGCCTAAGGCGGGACTAGAACTCAGTCTCCTGAAAAAAATCTCCTGAAAAGAACTTTTCAGGATACTATGTCTTCACCTTGGTCTAGATCACACTATTCCTCTACTTGCCATGGGAAAGTCTAGGAAGAAAGTTAATTGATCATTTATTTAATTATCTGATGAGAATTCTATTTCAAAACCGAAAGTTGCAAGCTTTCACTCAATGCATTCAATGTCTTTAAACAACATAGTTTTCAATCACTGATTAGAAGGGGCCTTTATATAATAAGGTATGACTTCAAATTATTGAAAGCACTGGCATTATTCAGGGCACTTACATTTATGAGTATGATAAAGAAGGAGCAAATAAAGAAAGTGATAGATGAAACTTGAAATGAAAACATTTCACAAAATATGCTAGAGTGAAATTTGTTTTTTTCTAAAGAATGATAAAACTGGCATTACGTGTAAATAAGAAAGGAGATGTAGTAGTAATACAGAAAACTATATTCAAAGGACCCTGTGTTTTTATCACAATTCCAATATAGGAAAGGGGGATGGGAAACCATTTATTTTTCCAAGTATAAAAACTGAAATTCAACTCTTCCTAGAGTTCAAGACCTGGGACTTAAGCTCCCCCCGTGAAATTTTACTCATTTTTGTCTACAGTGGATGCTCATATTATCACATAAAGTATAACTGTGAAAGTTGGTAGGAAATCTCCCATGTTAATTTCAAAAAGCAGCCTTGGCATTACTACCTTACCTGGAATCAAAACAAAAACCTGTCGCACGGTTATGTAAGCGCGGATCTGGTGGATCTGGAGCAGAAGATGCACTTGCCTCATCATCCTGCGAAAGAAATATTTGATTTTACTGAATGTATTTTGCTCACAAAATTGTTCTCATTCTTGTTATTATTACCATGACCTCTTACGTTCACAAGCCAATAATATTCTAAATAATCCACTAGGTAAGTGTGTGAAGTGGCATTTATCTTGACAAACACATTCATACTGTTGAGCCTATGTTATTTTCTTCATTGAAGCAAAGAGACTACAACATGCTTCAACAAAGGACTTCACGTTGCCTTGAAGCTTTTCCTTGCCTTGTCCCTATCACTTGCAAATGCAGAAGAGCAAAAGTCTCTTAGAGAATTTGCTGAGGATGTAAACTGCGCATTCTCCTGCAACACCCATCAAAGTGCTACTGGGGAAGCTATGATGGGAATCAGCTGCAAAGCCATCACTTCTCTTTTAGAAATCAAGGAAACACCCTGTATTGCAAAGCACAATTTCCACAGTACAGACTAATACTAAACGTCGGATTAGCAACTTTGATACAAATGCTTAGGGACTACGTTCCTGCAAAGCCTCTCTAAATTAGATGCAGGTTATCATAATACAAAGCAAACTTCCATTTTATGAACAGCTACATTAAACAATGAATTTGCTAAAACAACATCTGTAAGAAAAGGTGGGGAGAAGTCACTGATTTAAATTTACAAAGCTTCTTCCCGACAGCCAAGTTTGAGAGTACCACTACTGTCAACCAAGCATGCAATTTGCCATGATCCTGCAGTGAGGGCTATCAACTAAACTGTTGAATTTTGCCTGTTCCTTCTTCATTAGTGTCACCAGTAACCATGTTAGCAGCATTAATAGCACATAAGTAGACACAATTAGAGTTGATGAGCAAGGCTAGTCCAACAGTGACTATTAGGGATTATGATTTATTCCAAATAATTTCATATTTCAGAAAGTTATCCTGAATGTAAATATAGCCCAGCAACACCAGATGTGCACACATGTCCAACTCACATTCCAATATTGTCAGTGATTAGAAACATTAAAACTGGTACCATTCTGAAATATTTAATTGTATGATTTTTCAGATTAATGAAGATGATCTAATGCATTCATGATCTAATGAATCAAAACTCCTTGCAGTTCCAATTAGCATCACCATCAGCAATGAATATTGGGAGTTACAGTTCAACAACATCTGGAAAGTTATTGTTTATAAAAACTAATTTAACATCACTAATCTACAGTGATGTTATTACAGAAATTACTTATTACAGTAATAACAAAAAGAATAAGAAAAATATATGCTACAGCAGCAAATCTGTATTAATATATGCTCTCAATTATTCACCTATTATGACAGGAATGTGCATGTATTCGTCTAGTCACAAGTTCCTTCTGTTTTATTAAAAATTGTAATTGTAGCCATATTTAAGTCCATATAGGAAAAGTACATGGATGCACCTAATTTATTCTTTATCACTGAAACAAACTATGCATGAAAAGGGCCTTCAAACTACTAAACAGTTGGCAGCAGAGGGCTGAAGTATATCATGTAAAAATACAATTAGGATTAGGAACAACATACAGAAGTCAGCATAGCATTAAAGTATCTTTTTTTCTATTAAGGAAACTAATGATCAGCTCTTTTTAATATCTTTTGATAACTTCTACTAGATGTCATATATATAAAGGAGGTTTCCTTCTTTCTATATATTCTTACTTACTTTTACCTTTCTATATATTCTTACTTTTAAAGGAATACTAGTTTCATCAGCTATGTTACATTGGTACTTGCCAAACATCTATATGCCAGTTCAAAGTAGTTAGCATCCTATTTCTTCTCTTGAATATACTTCCCTAAGCAAAGTTAAGTGGTTTTTCATTTGACAAGCTGAAAAGTCAGATTATAATGTGTTAAAACTTCTATCTGATGTAAGACAAGAAACATTTCTGAGAACAGACATACACTTGCCCAAAGTTGGCTCCCATCTGAGCACATTAGGATCCTTCTGCCTCATTACAAAATCTAAGCTGTGTCAGCAAATGAGCACAAGACTTAAGCTCTGTTCCTCTTGGGCTTGCAAAAGGTAAAGCACATAGATTAGAAAGAACACCCTGCTAATTAAACTGCAGCAGATGACTAAAGAGGAGAAAGACTTGTCATTGTAATGTCTATGCTAGACTAAATGGTCATATTAAATATGCAAAATGTGAAATAAAGGTAGGGAAGTGCTCTACGCTCACATTCAACATGTTCAACAGGCCACAAAAGTTCTGACAGTCTCCCTAATTATTCACAGTAGTAGACTCAGGGAGCAAAAGGCAAGAAGAAGAGATAATTTTTTCTCCATTATTACTACTGAGCACCAAGGCTAAAACTGTGCCTGTCTGAACACTGATCAGTTTCTCAAAAGGTTAATAGCAATTAAACGTGGCAAACTAGACTAAATGAGAAGCAGGTCATGATACCACTATACGTGCAACAGTGAAGGACTTCATAAAAGAATATTACTTATTCAAGTGTTTCTTAAAGTTAATAGATACAAAAAAATAGTGTCACATATTTTACAACTCCATCACATTTTATACAAATTGTATAATATAATATGTATACTGTAGACACTGTATATATATGGGCTAGCAACTATCTTCATGTGAAATAGGCATTTAAAGAAATTAACATTTTTATATTGC